AGCAGCGGTGAGAGTTGCGATGGCTGCCACAGCACCTGTTGCTGGTTTTAGGCAAAATAAAGGTATTTGCGTTAGTTTATGCAAATTTTCAATCGATTTTCGAGTTCGCCGCACGAAATTACGTATCATGACACCATAAGCAGGCTTTGAGAGAGGCAGTGAGCAAACTAATAATCGATGGTGAAGTTCTCGATGGATGGAAACTTAGCAGGAATGAGCATGACTACATAAGGAAAAGAGGGGGAACAAAGCTGACAATAAACACTACCGTCCCATAACAGTACATCAGTGGTCTACAGGCTGGCGATGCAGGATTAAAGAAAGACTGCAGGCATGGATAGAGGATGAGGGGGGTGCTGGAGAGAACGAAGAATGGGTTTCGGAAACACAGGAGGCTGGAAGACAACCTGTTCTCACTGACGCAGTGCATAGAAATAGCAGAAAAAGAACACAGGCCCCTATGGCTAGTGTTTTTGGATATCAAGGAGCGTACGATATCGTGCTTCAAGAGGAATTGTGGGGAATACTGGACGCACTAGGCGGTGGAACAATGTAGTCACTAATCTTTTAAAGGATATCTATAAAGGTAACAAGGTAGTTATAAAGTGGGAAAAACAGGTATACAAGCCTGCAGAGGTAAAACGGGGGCTTAGGCAGGGGTGTCCCCTGTCACCCTTATTATTCATGATGTACCTACAAGGATTAGAGGCCAAATTAGAGGGAAGTGGACTGGGCTTCAACCTATCTTTAGTCAAACAAGGAAAACTCATTGATCAGGCACTACCAGCATTAATGTACGCAGATGATATAGTGCTAATGGCTAACAACAAGGAAGATTTGCAGAGATTGATGGACATCTGCGGTAATGAGGAGATAGGTTAGGCTTCAGATTCAGTAAGGAAAAATCAGCAGTCATGATTTTCAATGATAACGAAGGTAGTGAGCTTAGAATACAGGAGGTCACGCTTGAGATAACAGATAAATACAAATATCTGGGCGTATGGATAAGCATGGGACGGAGTACCTGAGGGAACACGAAATATACGTGACGACTAAAGGTAACAGGAATGCAACAGTGATGAAAATAGGGCACTGTGGAATTACAATAGGTATGATGTTGTGAGAGGAATATGGAAAGGGTTCATGGTTCCTGGTCTGACGTTCGGCAATGTGGTCTTGTGCATGAGATCAAAAGTTCAAGCAAGATTAGAAATTAAGCAACGTGGAATAGGTAGGCTTGCTTTAGGAGCTCACGGGAATACACCAAATAAGGGAGTACAAGGTGATATGGGAGGGACATCATTTGAGGGCAGGGAAGCTAGCAGCAAGATAAAGTTTGAGAAGCGATTGAGAGAAATGGGGGAGGAGCGTCGGGCTAGGAAGGTTTTCAGCTACTTGTACATGAAGAATGTCGATACAAAATGGAGGAACGAACCAGGAAATTGACTGGTAAATACTTAGAAAACAGCAGTTGGCCAAACCAAAAAGAACTATATCGGTTAAGAAGAAAGTGAAGGAAACGGAGGCTGACATGTGAAGAATGGGCATGATTAAGAAGTCCGCACTAGAGATCTATCGAACTTTTAAGCAGGAAATTGCCAAGAAAGGATCTATGATAATACTCGGGGTAGTTATCTACTGTTTAATTGAGGCCAGGACGAGAGTACTGCGAACCAAGACATATCGGGCCAAATACGAAGGGGTAGACACGGTATGCAGTGCGTGTGGAGAGGAAGAAGAAACTGCCGAACACTTGATAATGTTCTGTAAAGGGCTTCACTCTGTAGTTCAGGATGATGGCGCTGAGTTTTTCGAAGCACTGGGGTTTAGGGACCGGGAGGGCAAAATAGACTTTAAGCGGGTAGACTTAACTAGAAGGAGGTTATCTGATTGGTGGCTAAAGTCAAGGCACGAGTGAAAATTAAACCCTTCACTACAAAGTAGGAATCCTTAAACTCACTTTTTAAAGAAAAAAATAAATCTAGTTTTTGGTTCTTAAGTATTACGGTTTGGTGACGCTAGCCACCGCCCAATCTAAAGGATACAGCCATATCCATCCACGTCACCTAAGGCGGCGCTGCGCAGAGACGGCAATCAACACGCGCGGGGGCAACGTGAAACATTTAAAATATATTTCTTGCTCGTGGATGGCCTCAAGTGGCGACCGAGAAAATATGTTAATTAGCTTCTGAAAAACAGGATGCCTACGCGGCTGCACGACTGAACTGAAATATCGTCAGGTCGACAGGATGCCGAAAGTGAGCGCGTAATGGTACTGAAACATTTTATCGATGAGAAGTGGTAGAAGAGTGGAACGATGAGCTCAGCTGTGAGCCATTGCTTGCAACACTTTTCACGGCGAACCACCATTTTCTCAAGCACTAATGTGTGAATAATTGATTGATATGTGGGGTTTAACGTCCCAAAACCACCATATAATTATGAGAGACGCCGTAGTGGAGGGCTCCAGAAATTCCGACCAGCTGGGTTTTTTAACTTGCACCAAATTCTGAAACCTGTAAATGAAGCTTCATCACTCAAAGCGTCATAATCACGAGGCGAGAACCACGAGCGGTGTCTGAATGAAATCCTTCAATTTCTGCACACAGGTGGATAGAACACATTTCCGAGTAGTGACTCACTATCTGTTTACAACAATGCATTCTTAATAATTTGTTGCACGTCCTTTTTTTTATCCTAAAGAAAAAAGTTTATTAGTTCACATGCGCCCCACAGAACATTGGGCTGCAAGCCTAGGTTATGTGCCTGAGCTTCAGGCACTTTCTCTTTTCACGGGAAGATGCTCGCTTTTTGTGGAGTACCTTGTGTAAAAACGCAAATGGGTTAGCAGAAAAAACTTGTTTACTTGATTGGTGAAGCTCGGACCATGTTGTGTGCAGCCCAGTGTTACATTTTTTTTAAGCAGGAAACAAGCTCTTCCAAGCTGTCACTGTGAAGCTCGTTGTAGCTAAAGCACTTTGAAAAGTGATTTCAGAGGCGTCTACAAATGCGAAGAGCTTCTCCGAAAGGTCTGCCCATGGGCGTCCGCATGAGGGGGCAAAGCGGGCTGGCCACTTGGGAGGGGGCGCTAAATCTGTTCTATCTAGATGAGTGGCGTAAAATCTGCCTCATACACTGATTTAATATAAAGGAGACACCTTGCAATAAACATTCGCCCCCCCCCCTTTCCTGAACGGCAAGCACGCCCATGGGTGTACCCCTTTCAATGCGGACAGTTTCGCCCATCTAAGTGTGCTCGAAGTGCCGGGAGATGTACCTCTCACTGAAGTGCAGCTCGCACACAGCCGAGTTATGTTGAAGCAGCTTGTCAGCGCGCGGGATCGCTCTACGCCACTGCGCTAACAGAGCTTCGTCCTTTGGAACGCCGAACAACGCATGCGTCTTTTCAGCTGGCTAATAGCCTGTAGTGAACCAACACCACCTAGATTTTTTAAGGCCCCTCCACGAATTCTCCTTTGACGCGTGACGTCACCACACTACGACGGCGGGAGCAACCGGTGCGGTAGCGCCATCTGACGGCAGCGGCTGCCGTTCCTGCTCGAGCGGCAGCCAGCCGCCGTTCATGCTGATTACTGTGAGCCATGGTTTCGTAGACAAAATGAAAAATACTTAATTTAACCCAACTTCTTGAGAAACTTTTATTTCACGATTGTCAATACATCCAAAATGCTGTCAGAATGCAACTTGTGGCAAGAAAAGCACTCCGTAAACATGTTTTCTAGCTTGCTCACAAAACTGTACAGGTGGCTAGATGGATACAACAGTCCACCTTTGTTACGAAAGCTGGTTGGACGAGTGAGCTGAAAATCTTCTCCTTGAACTGCCATCGTGAGTAGTGTTATGCAAACTTCGCAGTTTGTTTTAATGACACACTTTCGCGCAATATAGCCAGCAAGATCAGCTGGAATCACTTCTAGCAATATGCTGGTTGTGGTCAATAGGTGCTGGCACAAAACTAGGCTCATTCACAGTGCTTGCACTGCCAACTGAATCGTCTTGTGGCAGTGTGTCAGTAGCAGCATTGATCTCCAGCAATGAAGCTAGCTCGCCTTGGTCACAATTCCCCTGGCTAATTGTTTTCACGAGACCATAGAATGACAGACAAGTAATGGTTAGCAAAAACTGAGTTGGCGTGGGGTGGTCGTTGGTGCCGGATGACTGACGTATAGTACCAAATAAATTTTCTAATGGTCTTGGCTGGTCTTTGATGTCATTATGTATTTGAATGCTACTTTCCCTGTCAAAAAAGAAAGCACTTCTAGCACACTGCTTATAGTCACACGCAGTCCAGTCACGTAGATTATATGCACGTAGTCCTGTAGCACATACTTCGGCTGAAAATGAAGGTCACACACGGCAGATGTGTCGTCCAGGGCTTTGTCCGCTCGATGCAAATTCTTTCCCATTGCTTCTTCAGGGCTGCATCCTTCGGAACGCCGAACAAAGACGGCTTCTTGCTGCCCTTCACGTGGACGTAACCTGTACGACAGCCTGGCGCAAAACAGTGGTTTTGCCACCGCGGAAGCATTTTAACCTCGTTTGAGGGTCACTGCTTGTCAGGCCACATTACTGTTCACCGAAGAACCCAGGGGATTGAGGATGCAAAGCACGACGAGTTTTCAAAGTAATAAAACTCGCACACACCGACCGCCACTCCAAACAGGCAGCAACTGCCCTAGCGCCAACGCTAGCTACATTTAATGCGGCGGTAGCGCCGCGCCGCGGAGGCGCGCCGAAGCCCGTTTGTGTGACATTGGCGCCGTCACCGCAATGCATGGCGCCGGCCGGCGAGTGAGCCCACTACCCTATTCTAGCTCACTTTACCACTGTAGAACTACAGTGTACTAGAAGAGGGCAGTGGCCTTACTGCCGTCGGCTGTGAGCCGTACGCACCACTCAAGAAATCGGTATGTTCTTTAGTGCCTAAGCCATGCCGCGATATCGGCAAAACCACTGCTACGCGCCTGGGTGCCAAACAGGCTATGTGTTCGTGAAGGGTGGGCCGAAGCTGTCGTTGTTTGGCGTCCCGAAGGATGAGAACAGGCGTAAACAATGGGAGAAGAACCTGCGCAGAGCGGACAAGCCCCTGGAAGACACCAGCGCAGTGTGCGAGCTCCACTTCGAGCCGCGTTATGTGCTCAGAGACTATGTGCATATTATTGAGGGAAAAGAAGTGCGGATACCTCGCGGGAGACCCATTCTCCGCGCTGATGCTGTGCCGACGCTTCTACCCAATCTGCCAGCTTACCTTAGTAAAAAGCCGACACAAGAGAGGACCGCTCGTAAGAGGAAACGATCGGAATCTTCAGACGGGCAATTGAAGCCCGCATTCTGTCCTTCCGACAATGCGGTGTCTGGGCCGTTTGCACACACCGACGACGTTGTTGATGCAGGCTGTGAAGAATGTCCACAAGCGTCTACATCTCCACCATCTGCCAATGTGAATCAGTTTTACTTCAACCTAGAAGTGCCTTCACCATACTGGAGTAAGCACAGTTTCCCTGGCCATGCCGGTGTTGTATACTGCACGGCCGCGTTGACCACTAATGCCGAAGTGCTCTCCGAGCAGGTGGTAATGTTTTCAGAGTCGCAATGTGCCGCATACTGCAAAGTGCTTGCTAGAGGCGTTTTGATAAAGGAAGGGCCGGTGCATACAAAAACGGAGGCCGAGGACGAGTTGCGAAAGACTGACCGGATGCAGCTATGTGCGGGTGCAATGAGGCTCGAGGACTATGATGAAGCTCTCTTCACAACTAAGCTTAGGGACCACGTGTTGACGCGCCAAGGACTGTACTTCAGCAGGAAGTGCCTAGGCCAGGTGCCTAAAGAAGGTAATTATCACTCTTTATTTTTGAACAATGACACATCACGCTGTTAGCGTAGAAGAGGCTGTGCATTACCATGCTTTCGTGTCTTTTTCAGGAACGCCATGCGTCTCCTGTCGGTACCTAAGGCGAGCTTTGTTGACACGCCGAAGCCGAGTGCAGCGTAGGAACACAAAGGCACGCCTCAACATTGCCCAGAAACTTAAAACAGCAGTAAGAAGAAATAAGCGCCTTTCCACCCGTCTCTCTGATACAAGGGAGAGCCTTGCGAAACTGCAACAGCAAGCTGCAGCAAAAAATGCAGATGTTCTCCAGGAACAGATTGGGAGCCTACCTACCCATCAGCAAGAAGCTGTTAAACACTGCTTTGCAGCAGCTAAAGTGAAACCTAATGGTCTTCGATACAGCAAGAGCTGGCTTCTCGACTGCATCATAATGAAGATGAAGGGTCCCCGCTTGTACGAACACTTGCGTAAAAACAAAATTCTTGCCCTGCCAAGCAAATAAACTCTGAAACGTTATGTATCTGTTTACCGTACACTTTTTGGCTTCAATGAGAAAATCCTGAAGAAATTGAATAGTGAAACAGCGGAGCTCGACGTCAGCAAGAGGCACGGGGGATTGCTCATCGATGAGCTGAAACTTTCTGAGAGCTTGTCTGTTAGGAGCAGTGGTACAATTGAAAGCTTTGTAGACTTGGGCCCATTTACCACACAAAAGGACAAAAGCACTCCATCTGACCATGGTATGGTGGTACTTTTTGTTCCATTCCAAGGAAAATGGAGTCAGGTCATAGGGGCTTCGCAACGAATGGCAACATGAAAGCAGATATTCTCGCCAAGGTTGTTGTAGAGGCCACAATACTAGCAGAAAAAAGTGGGCTCTTTGTCGATTTCATAACAACTGATGGGGCAAGCTGGAATCGAAAGATGTGGAGGATGATGGGAATACATGCAACTGCTAGTTCGATTAAGTGCAAGGTCCAGCGCCCTTCTGACCCAAAGCGGCACTTGTTCTTCAACTAAGACTTTCCTCATCTAATCAAATGCCTCCGGAACTCCCTGTTGAAGAGCGGCTTCAACACCCCAGCTGGCCATGTAAGTTTCTGCATGTGTAACATGTATCGCCTCTTTTAATTACTGCATATTTTGCCTAGTTTTTCAGTGTCGAGCTATTCGTTTAACAGTACAATGCAATATGATTTGTTCATTCCTCTCGAAAATTCGTTTTGCAGTAGGGACCATTTGCCTAAAGGGCAGTTACTTTTCCTGTTGCTTGTCGATCATTGGAGGGTTTACATTGTGCGTGGGGCTTTATTTATTTGGGGAAAATTAACCTGGAGGGTATCAACGAACATTTTGCAGGCTCATTTACATTTTTGCTGCAACTAGTGCGCATCGCAACAAATGTCTGGTTTTGTCTTGGAATCATATTCCAGGTCAGCATTCGGCCGGTGAGGGAAGCCTACAAGATTGATGCCAATAATGTGACCCTCAAGGCTATGCCCGGAATCACCAAGTGCTATCTCAATCCAAATGGCTTTGAAAAAATGAGAGTGAGCATCGCGTTTCAACTGTTCGGTGCGAGAGTCCTCCAGGCTTTCCACCTCTACAGGAATGAGCTGGACAAGATATTTGGAACCATCAATGCCACCCAGGAATTCTTCAGGTAACTGTACCGCTATTTAATTCAATTCACTTCGTTATTTTAGACATAAATACACAATGTGAATTATGTCCTCGAGCTTAGGCAAAAGATGACCCGTATGTCTCCTGACGAGGCCTTCACCCCAGACAACACCGTGCCCCAGACTAACCAATCTCCCTGCCAGCCAGCTTATAGAATGTTTTTAGTAAACATTCCTTAAAGTGCAAATGAAGGAGTTTGCAGTTTTTTGCCCGACTGCATGACGGTGGCTGTAATCCGAGAGGCCATGTCAACAAGAATTCAAGCAATATTGTTTTATTCTATTTTTTCAGCAAGGTGAGCCAGTTGATATCAGTGATGACATCACGGTATGCTGCTGAAGCTCTCCGGCCAGGCTCCTTGAAAGAAGAAACCCTGAAGGACTTCCTGTCGTACCTTGATCAGTGGGAAAGGCATGCCAAAGGAACTGGTGGATTTTTAAGTGACTCCACAGCAGCCGACTTGCGTGTCACCATTTCAAGCACTCTCGAGTTGCTTGCCTACTTAACATCCAAGGTTGGATACAAGTACCTAATGACATCAAGGACCAGCCAGGACCCACTCGAGAATTTCTTCGGAATTGTAAGACAAGCCTCTGGCAATAACGATCACCCGACTCCAACACAGTACCTAATCACTGTGAATTGCCTCTCATTTTATGGTCTGGTTAGGTCTGTTAGCAATGGAAACTGCGAGGAGGGTACCCTGGCCTCCTTGCTGGAAGTTGACTCGCTCGAATCATCAACTGATAGAGAGGAGTGCAGTCAAACTGCTGCTGCCACTGCAGCTGAAGAGAAAACAAAAAAAATCATGGTACACCAGCATAATGCTGGCCTGCAGGCTTCAAGTGACCATAACCAGCACGTGGTCAGAAGCGACTCCAGGCTCATTTACCATATTTCGGGCTATGTTGCACGAAAATGCATTGTCAATGCTAAAACAAAATGCCAAGATTGCGTCAAGCTGCTCACCGTGACCTCACCTGTTGAAAGTTTTCAGCTTGCTCGGCTAACAAACTCTTGTGACCGAGGAGGCCTCCTCCATCCCTCTAGTCAGCTGTACGGCTTTGTGAAAAAGCTCGAAGATATCTTCACAGATTGTTTCTGCCAGAGCGAGCTGCACTCTGACAGCATTATGGACATGCTGGCAGTTGTTCAGCACAGACTTTCCATCGAAATTGGTTGCAGTGTGCATGCAGCTACTCCCACAGCGAAAGTAATTAGTTTTTACGTTGTCACACGTCTTCATTTTTATGTGAAAGGACTGAACAGTGACCAAGGAGGAAAGCGGCAGAGGGCCAAGCAGCTGAAGCTGAGCCGTTGCACATGAAGTGAATAAAGTGTGTAAAATCAGTGGTTGAATATTGTGCTTCAGTTTTGAAAATAAGAGCTTCATGTCCGGAACAGAAGCTGTACATAGGCCTCACAGATGTGTAACTGCGTAATTATAGTTATTAAAAACCCCGAGAAAACTACTGTGCCATGTGCAACAACCGAATTAGAACAAAAGATATTTCAGCTACAATTTCATTTCATCATAGCAAAGGCACAAACTCAGCCAGCACGCCTGCATGTTAAGCTCGGCTAGGAAGCTGATCGCGAGGTTGTTATATCAGAAAATACGATGTGGCCTGCACAAATGTAGTGCTTGTCAAAATGTGCAAAGAGCTCAAGCTCCCCCGGCCCCCCAGAAAAAAAAAAGCATTAACTGCGGTCGCACCTAGAAAGGAGCAAGCATATCTGCATAAGCTGCCCTCGGACTGACTTTCGGCAATCTATCGCAAAAACAAAGGAAATAATGGCGAACCGAGAGCAACATACGCTTCTCCAGTACAGTCAAAGGGAAGTTTGATACAAGCAAGTTTATTCTAAATATCGAAGAAGAAGAAAGCGCGTTCGCAACTCGTACGAGCGGCCAGCGGCGAGCAGCTTCTGCAGGCGAAGCTTCCATCGAAGATGCCTGTGGCGCCACCTCTCCTTGCGACACCAACTGCGTCAGAGGAGCGGCGGAGTAAGCACACTGCCCCTTCTAGTACACTGTAGACTTGTCGTAAAATTAGCCTTTTGGATTGACTTGGCTAAAAATAAAAAAACATTTGTTATCGCAAGTAAAATTATCAAAATAAAACTTAAAAACCTCGTATTTTATGCTATATTTTATTCATTTGCAATAGTTATTAAAAGTAAAAACAAAATTGCACAAATACTTTTGTTATGATTAAATTATTGTGAAAATGGCTTGCAGTCGTTTGGTAGCCAAATTGATATCGTGACCATATCCAAATCGCGCTGTACGGAGGCAATTGGAAATTTTAAAAAACCTGCAGCTTCTACCACTTTCCAACCAGTGCAGTACTGTTCAAATTGATGGCGTGACCTGGTTTCGCCGAAGTTATTTTCGTCTGAATTATGTGCAATTTCCGCGCGAACAGCTAAATGCTGCGCATTAGATAGGCAGGGAATATCTACCAGTATTTGATTTGACATTTGTAACAGCTGCTCAGGTAGCGCTCCAAAAATTCGATCCCGGAGAAAATGGCTTTGAATAATCAGGACGATGCTTTAAAGGAATGGGACGAGCAAAAGAACATCTTCTTAAAAGCCGCGGAGCATGTTCAAGCCCACGTCGGAAACCTGGCTAATGATCAACTGCTCTACCTTTATGCCAGGTACAAACAGGTGCGTGCCAGGGATTTTGCGTTATCAGTTCAAAATAGCAATAATAATTGTTGATGGTATACTGTGTTAACACTTCACACAAGCGCCAATATATATGTTTTAAACTTACGTGACGTAATGTCAGGCGACCTGACGCCTTACATAATTTTTTCGTAATGTACGTGTTGAGCATACACCAACAACCATCTATTGCTCCATCAGGCACTGTACCTGTCAAATGAACTATACTGAGCAGTGGTGTTGACTTTTTTTTCGGACAAGTCGTGCCGGGACGCTTCCAAAAAGTTACCAATTTAGCCAAAGTCGCTAAACGATGACGCATGGTGACTTTTTTCGCGAGTCTTAAGTGTTTACTTGTTAAAGAACGTGAAGAGATTTTTTTATTTACACACACTATGTTAAATCAATATCTGGTGCGGTAATAAAATCGGACAGTGGTGCTCCCTCCTGGCTAATCGACTGTAACATGTGAGCAGTTGTAGTCCACCTGTCTGCGGCGAACCGTGAGTCGTTCAATAGAGCCGCTTGCCCACTCAAGAATAAAATGAGTGCTGGAACACCGCCACAAGCAGCTTGATCTGTATGCTTCGGCCTCATTTAGTAGAAGCTTGTTCTGAGCATCCCACTGTTTCCACATTTTTTAATGTTCTATGGCTATTTTAGATTGCTTCTATCTCAAATTTGAAAGTCCCCCAAATGTCGCTAGAGCTCCAAATAGACAAATTGTCGTTAGCATGACTGCTAAGACGCTAAATTCAGCGACTTTCTCGCTAAGTTAACACCACTAATACTGAGACACCTGTGCTTGTTGCAGGCAGCTATGCGCACAAAGACTGAATTCAGCCTTGTTAAAAAGAAGGGTAGTTGTACCAAAGGCAGCACATTGAATTTTCTGATCTCTAGGCCCGATGAACTCTCGAAGAGTGAATTTTGAACCAAGCAAATTGTTAAAATTGGAGAACACATGTTCCATTTCACCCAACAGTAAATTTTAAATTATAAAAAGTAAGAAAACAAGATCCTGCTAGGTCCTCTATGTTTTATTCTACCTACAGAATATATCATTAAGGCACAATATAGTGGCAGTGTGCACATTTAGGAATCCATGTGGTTGAGTAGGATAACGAGCCCTACTACTATGGCATCTCTTGCAGTTTGTAAGTTCCTTTGAGTTGTTGATATAATTCTGACAAGACATTGCATGTTGCCTGTAAAAGTTTCTTTAAATGATTCAATCCTGTGAAGTTAAATTGAATGCTAGGTCTTTTGCTGGATGTCATGGATTGCTCCTGGATTGATTTTCCTCTTTTTACAGCTTGCTTCAAGGTGAAAGAAACCCACAGGAAGTCACTCTGGGCAAAGAAACTTCATTTATTGAATGTAACTCTCTGGATCATGTGCGATGAACATTTGCATCAACCTTTTTATGTACTCTTCTTTGTATTTGAACACCTTGAAATATATTACATAAGTTTCTTTCTACTATTGTAGGTTCAACAATACAGTCTGAATTCCATATCTGGGCTTTATTTTTTAATGATCCATTTCATATTTCATTCGTCTTAATCTTTGATTTATGATTTGGATGCTCTAAAGTGCTATGAATTTGCTTGCCAAGTGTAAAAACTGACATCTGGCTACAAATGGACCCTTCATGAAGCCCTTGAGCAGTGGACAGTGAAAATTCCTTCACCATGCCTGTGCAGATCATTCTCAAAGCAAAAATTAGATGCAGTATAATGTCCTAATAATGTGTAGTTGTTAATTACGGAAAACCTTAGCACATGTATATGCAAAATAAAAAATGGCAAAGGAGGGCATGTCGAGGCGTCGATCGCTGGCTTGAAAGGATACACGTTGAGTGCACAGCCTTTGAGTTCTGTAAGAGAATATGAAAGAGGAAGAAGTTGCTAGACTCTCAGACCAAGATTTCCTTTTTCAACAAAGTTAGAACAAAGTATCCATAAAACTTCCAGTAAGGTCTGATCAAAAAAATCACATTTTATTTCATAGCACAGGTATTTCTGCTGATAAGTGTTTGAAGAAAGTTTGAAAATAATGTGCCAATTAAAGAAGAGGGGAGGGGGGGGGGCATAGTAGGGTAATCTGGCTACATCAATGAAAAGCCCTGGACATACCTTGCCATGACTAGATTGCTACTTGCACAATCTTGCTAATGTCTTTCAGATGACTAAGTGCATTTTTTGCTAGCCAAAGTACAACAGCTGGTTGCAATCACCATGTGCGCAGTTGTTTTGAGCTAATGGCAGTAATGGAAGGAGATCCCTTTGTTGTCTTAAAAGAAACGATCTGAATAGTGTTATTAATTTTAATTTTAAAGAAGAGGGCATACGTCTTTTTGCTGCGCAGTGTCGGTGTTTGACAGTGCCTTCTTACCAGCTGCACTCTTTGGTGTAATAGATTTCTCTTTTATGTAGGTCCTAGACGGCCCATGCAGGCTACCAAGGCCAGCTTCTACGACTTTAAGGGCCGCCAGAATGTAATTAGCTGTGATGATGCGAGAAAGTCTTGATTATTTTATAAGAATATTGGGTAATATTTAACAATTATATATGTCTGTACTGTACCAGTGCTGTGATTTTGCTTCAACAGATAAGCTTCAGCGCTTGTTAAGGACATTTTTGCAGTATATATAATGACATCTCAGTGTTCAATCATTTTTGCACATTCTATAGAAAGCGTTATTATAAATAATCATCTAGAGCGAGCGTTAAAAAGCTTCATAAACTTAATTAGGCTGCCAGAATATGGATTGCTTTATGGAAAGTCTTCTATATTTATTTAAAAATAATTTTCATCACGAATAAAATTTTATAGTGACACTTGTGTATACAATGGTTAGTAACGATAGGTTCGCCAGAATGGTGCAGTTCCTCATTTGTTTTTATTTATCATCATAGTACTTGCTGTTAATGTAGTCTTTGTCGTAACAGTGAATAACCACAAATACCTTGTAAAAAGTTGTGTTCTATGCTGCAGGGGAGTGAACTTGGCAGAATTGTTTTTATTACAGAATAGTTCATAAATACCTGCTTACAGTACCTGCCATTCTAAAAATCTCATTGCAAACTAGCTGGCTAGTGAATCACCTTGGCATGCACTTGTGGCTGTTCTTTTGGCCTTTCCTGTAAGCGCCGTCTTCCTCATTATGTTTATTCATCACCATAGTTCTGACATTTTCACACTCGAGTGCTCAACAGAATAAAGAGATTTCTCTATTAACAGGGATGCCTGGAATCGGTTAGGTGAAATGACAGCTACCAACAGCAAGGGATGATACGTGGCTTTTGTCTCTCGTCTCTTCCCCGATTGGAGGCCTGAGGTATCGTTACATTTTCCATGCTAAGCCTTCTGCATGGGACTAAACACCCCAGAATCTGTTTTTCACTATAATGTTAATCTTTTTAACATAACTATATTTTTCATTGTGGTCTGTCAGTTGCTTCTATATATACTAAATTCAATATAAAGTTGTTGTAGCTCCATCAGGCTATTTATTGAGATAAACTGATGTCTAGTTTATAACCATTTAGAATTCGAGCTTCTTTACCTGGATAGCTCCCCATACCCCGTCTTTCGTTTCTTTTGTGTTAAAATGCTTCGCTTCCCATTTTCCAGGTTTCAGGCTAGGGATTAGTGAGGATAATGTGCATGGTGCTGATCATAAACTACGGTATTTGTTGTCTTGATAAAGAGAAGTCCACTTGTTGAAATATTGGTTCCAGTAGTATTCTCTATTTAAGATATGAGGCCTAGTGGAAAAAGTGAATTTTTGTCAAAATGTATTTTTTTGTTTTTGAATATGTTACGTGCACAAATTATTGGCCGTAATTTTGCTGCGTAAAGCATCCATCTGTGTCATTTCTTTCAAAGCAAAAATATTAGACCACCCAGTCCCCATGAAACTGAAACTGAAAGTGCCAGTTATGCATGTAGCATAAAGTTACCTTGATATGTAGCATTTTTTGGTTGTTTAGCAATCATATAAAGTGAAAATATGTGATAGTGCTCTGAAATCAATCACAATATATCATTTTTAATGAAAAGTCATCAACTTCTTACTAGCTGAACACATAAAGTGGTACATGTGTTGTTCATGCTCAAGGACACGTATGTGAGCCTGTAAACCATCAAATTTGCTTTGTTTGATGATGTATGTCATTTAAATAATAGAAACAGCAGCACATTTGATACTTTTAACGAAATTGGGACCGAGTCTAGCCCCTACACAGGAAAAACACGGCTGACAATTGATCAGCATTGCAGCACGAAATCGTCTTGTTGTGGCACTGATGCTGCAAAACAAGCTACAAAAGAAAATTTAGAGTCGCCACTCGTGAAAAGGCACACAGTAGTAAGGTTAACTATGAAACTGGCAACAAATATTGAGAATTTTAGCCCCCCTCATCATTTTGTGTAAGCACTGCACCTGTTTCTAATCTTCCTTGTTGATTTTCTTGCAAATTTCTGGTATTCTTCCTTATGGGAACAGTTGTAACTCTTTTGTTAATAAACACTTTTCATTAAAACTTGGCACACTTTTTTATCTCTTCAGCAGACGTGCAATGAACCTCAATAAGCAAAATTGTGCTACAAGATTTAATTATGGCTGTATTTTATATGAAGGTGGCCCTAGTGCTAGTGCATACTTTCTTGGTTATTTAGTTATTATGTTTTAAGTATTTATCAGGTTTCATTTCTTTTGCACAGGCCAAAGCTTTGTTCATGTCCCTGCAAAAAATAAACTTTTTTTCAATGAGTGCAGCTTCAGTTATGAGTGTTTGTGCAAGGCATACTTTTAATTACTTTTAAAGTGTGAAAAGTAACAAACAATAGGATTTGCAAAAGGGTTTCTTGAAGGGCTAGTTGGTACATGATACTGAAGAGAACAGCGCAAAAAATGGGATGGAGAAAGATTGAACACACGACGCAAGCGCTTGTGTTGTGTGTTCAATCTTTTTCCGTCCCATTTTTTGCGCTGTTCCCCTCAATAAGATTCGCTTTGTAATGCTCACATTTGCCTAAAAAGATGTGATTTATATTGCAGGCTAATAATCTCTTATTGCTTTTTAAAAAAATTTTAGTCACTTGACCTCATACCTTAAAGGAGCAGTGACATAAAATTTATTACTCATGTCAAGATTTTTGAATCAATGAGAGCTGTTGAATCCCTAGTAGCGATTCATGAGCTATAATGCAACTGAGGAATCAATAACTATCACTGTTATTAATTTATATGACTGGTATCTAACATGATTCATAATGGCCAGCAATCTGGCCATTTTTAGCGCTGGGAGCACTTCCTCACCGCCACCTCCAGATCATGCCACAGCTGGCCACTTCTCCACTGAAAAGAATGACGTCAGGCTCAGCTGCTCCACAAACATTTTATCTGCTAGGCGCATGCCTTGTCACTTGCATTGCTGTTGTCACCATACAAAGTGTCGACTACGGTTGAATACGTCAGCTTGAAATAGCCTCGATTCATGATGTTGTGAATCATTTTTGCTTCGATCGACCCTTTGCAGAACAGTGATTCCAAAATTGGCGCCGTTACAAGCAGCAATGAGCATCCATGCTTTGGCCATGCTCGCTCGTGTGTCTCAATTGGTGTGTTTTGGCATGCACAGCATTCAGGTATATGTGAAGGGGTCAATGGAATATCGGTATAGGGAATGCACACCAGCAGAAAAATAGAATACATTCCCTGCTTGCCAGGTTTTGCATCTTGAGATAGCTCCACCTATCCGGCCTCTCACGGTTTGGCGGCAGTTACCCGGTACTCTTACGCGAACGCAAAGAAGTTTATGAATGAACTAAAATTCACTAATAATGATACCTGCGTGTTACTTGTTAGCGATGATATCTATATATAAGCTACTCCACTTTAATAGATTCTAATCGTGTTGGTGTGTAACATACATGTAATGAAAAGGCACGAGCAGACGTTGAATCATAATCTTCTTTTTCGCCAATCTTTTATGGGTGGTTTGCATCTTGGTAATTTCACGAAATCATTCAAAGTGGTGGGAAGAAGATGAGGCATGACGAGTGAATACATTTCTAGGCTTTGGTGCCAGTGGGCGCCACGATAAGAACACTCGAATCACTACTAGCGCATCGTCACTGAGGATGGTATGCGTGGAATGTGTCACACCGAATACGTATTGCTAGTTGTATGTCGCAGAGCGCTCCATTTTTCATGAAGCTCTGGTACACTATTTGCAGTCAAAATAAAATAACTTCCACATAACGGAGGCAATTCAAATTAGGCTAAGAGGACCTACGCACACTGAGCAATCAAATGAAGAGCACATCTCGATTCTGAAGTTTGATGTCAGTGCTCCTTTAATAATTTTTTATAGAATACCTACCCCGTATTTTAAAGCTCAGCTCTGAGCCTAGGTGTGAGTGGATGCTTTCTTATACTTTCTCAGAATTTGCTTTTATTCTTTAGTCTGATATTTAGACCTGTCTTGATTAATTGATTGATTGATTTGTGGGGTTTAACGTCCCAAAACCACCATATGATTATGAGAGACACCGCAGTGGAGGGCTCCGGAAATTTTGACCACCTGTGGTTCTTTAACGTGCACCCAAATTTGAGCACACGGGCCTACAACATTTCCGCCTCCATCGGAAATGCAGCCGGGATTCGAACCCGTGACCTGCAGGTCAGCAGCCGAGTATCTTAGCCACTAGACCACCGCGGCGGGGCTTTAGACCTGTCTTGGTCAGTGCGCATAAGCTGGGTAGCAATCGAGGAATTAGTTAAGAATATTGCATGCAATCATGGATGTACAGGGTACCCCAGCTATCGTAAGCCAGAGTATAAAGATATGCCATAGCACACTATGAGAATGTGACCAAGCGCATGTTGCCTGGAGGACATCAAACTGTTTTTTTGTCTTCTTATTAATTGCCTAGTTAGGCATGTTTAGTTAGGTATTTGCTGCAGCAGCAAAGCTGGGTGAAAAATTCTAATGATACAGTTGTAGATCAGTTTGTGAAACATCCTTAATATCTACTATGTATTAGTGTTTTTCTGCTTATTACAGGTGCCCGCAAAATATAAAAATATATCATATGACATACTCAGTTGCACCTCTGTGCGCTGTGATTACAAATGATATGCTTTCTTTACGGCAGTTTAGACAATTCCAAGCAGGTTCAGCGGTTATCGCTTGTGTTACTACTAGCAAAACATGCATCATCGCACATTCCTGTTGAGGCAGCACGCTACGCCAAATTTTATGGTCATTTTCATGCAGAACATTAGGGAGCGATGCAATATGGTGCACAAGCATGCATGTGATGTGATATTAATTTGTACTTTGCAGGCATCTGTAGTAAGCAGAAAAACACCTATACTTAAACGGGCCTTGTGGCACTTTTAGGGGCGAAGCTCCTTAGGGCGTGGGCTGTGCGTCCCCTGTAGCCTGTATGTAGCCACCTCTAGTTTAGTTCTTGCAGTGTTCACTAGATGGCGGTACCGTCCCCTGTATGTAGCCACCTCTAGTTTAGTTCTTGCAGTGTTCACTAGATGGCGGTACCATCTCCTGTATGTAGCCACCTCTCGTTTAGTTCTTGTAGTGTTTGCTAGATGGTTGTACTTGTAGCTGATGATGAAAAGATGCAAGATGTTATAAACTAGAAAGCGGTACTTGTAGTTGATGAAAGACGCGAGATCTTATAAAATAGGAATGATGTCACATATGGCGCATGTCATTGGTTGAAGGCAATCGTTCGATTTAGTGCGGCGACGTACGCTAGGGGGAGCGATGTAATAAAATCGAGTGGGCAAAATGTACAGAGGATTCATGGTTTACTAGGTTTACCTCCGGAGCTTCGCCCACTCATCATCATTCACTTCGTGGATATGGCGGAATTTTTTTTTTCTTCTGCATTCTGCAGCACTGGAGTTTGTACACCAAATTCTGAGACGAACGCAAAAATAATGATTGAAATTAGTACATGGTAACAGAAGTTATTAGCTTTCAAACTTCAAAACACCAGAACAACTTTTTCTTTCGCTATTCACTCACCCTGGGGTGTAAAATGCCATTTTCATTCACCGCGCACCTTTTGAAGGGATGTACCGTACGACTCTCCTCGTGGCCCCGCCGCAGTGGTCTAGTGGCTAAGGTACTCGGTTGCTGAACCTAAGGTCATGGTATTCAATCCCGGCAGCAGCGGCTGCAATTTCGATGGAGGTGAAATTGCTGTAGGCCTGTGTGCTCAGATTCGAGTGCAAGCTAAAGAACCACAGCTGGTCGAAAATTCCGGAGTCCTCTACTACGGCATCTCTCATAATCATATGGTGGCTTTGGAACATTAAACACCACATATCAATCAATCGACTCGTCTCATGGTGGCTATTGTACAATGCTCCTAGCATCTTTTTGGAATTGTTTTAACATTTATATATTTAAAAACAAATATTGTTTTATCTGAGAAAGTATAGAGAGTTCTTTTGTAATTTGTATTTCACAATAGTGTGACCTATCGGGACCATAAGATTATCACGCGTAAGTTGTTGCATTGTACCAATCAAAACACACAGCCTATGTCATCACTCCCCCGTGGTGAACCGTTTATTCTGAACACCAAAATAGCTGCTGTGTGTTGCTCTAGTCTGAAAACAGTGTGGTTTCTCTGTAGAAATAAAATTACAACAGCTTTGTTTTTGGCATTGTCACTGGTGTGACGATATTGGTGCATTCTACGGTTCGAGTACAAGCAATGAAAATAACACTCAATTTGAATCGCAGGGCCCCAAATAGAAAACTAGAAAATGTCTAATTAATTTTAAATATTTTTCTAACTGATCTACAAGTTTTTCAGTGAAATTTTTCACCCAGCTTTGTCACTTCAAAAACGAGGTAATTAAACATTCTTAATTAAGCAATTAATAAGAACACATACAATTGTGTGATGTACTTTAGGCCAGTGGTTCTCAAATGGGGGTTCGCGAAACCATTTCTATGATCCGTGATCATTTCTATGATCCATTTCTATGATCCGTTTTTTTTCAGCGTGATTGTTCCAGGTATTGATAAACTGACCAAAATGATGTGATAGGGCACATTTGTTTGATGTTTTTGGTAGCAATAAAAGGCACATGTTTCACGCTCCAGTTGTGTTAATTTACCTACATACCCTCCCTCTCCTCCGCTGCAAGGGGTCCCCCATCACTTCCACCAGTCCACAAGTGGTCCCTGACACATCCATGGCTGGAAATCGCTGCTCTAGGCAATAGTCAGCAACCTCCATTTGTTCACATCGTCATAGAGTGCGTCGGCATGTTTTTAAACTCTGGCTAAAGACAGCTGGAGCACCCTATATAATGGGCTTTAGTCACATTGAACAATAGGTATAGCATTGTATCTGGTTGAACCCTTTTTTCTTAATAGGAGTATATTTGCTAGAGTACTTCACCAGTTGCACAAGAATGCTTGTTTTTTTTCTTTGTACACAGGAAAAAAAGAGTAGCACAAAGTCAATGCTAGGAGCTGTGGTGAGCCGGCCTTGTTGGGTAAGGGCGGGTATTTTTACCCAATTTGCTTTATTTATTTATTTTTTCATATCAGTACACATTCACTTATATTTATTTTCTTCAGAAGAGATAAGCCTTGCTCTTGAATTCCTGTATCCTGCAAGTGTGCATCTGTCTAAACCCCTATCACTTATGCTGTAAAGTGATATATGCATTAGTCTGGTTTAGCATTCATTATCTCATTTGCCCCTGCTTTCGATTACTTAGCACTTGCAGTATATGAACAATAAAATTAGATCTGTGTGATAAAAAAATTTTGGGTGTGAAGCAAATTTTATTACTAAAATGTGAGTGCAAACCAAGTTGAATATTTTTCAAAAATTTTTCTAATATTTCTAGAATAATTTTTGTGTAATTTGAAGTGAAATTGCCAAAAAGAATATTGGAGTGCATTACTAAGCATGTTTGTATAAGATGTGTGTAAAGTGTTGTCAACAACACTTTGCATGTGAAAGGCACAGATGCTATTTCCTCAGCCTCTTCTCCTCTTTCAACTTCTGTGGAAGCCCAACTGATGTGGTGGACAAGGGTGTGCTCTCTTTAAGTCCACAGTTCTGAATCTGCCTTGTAGATGTCAGTATATATAAGAACATATGAAAATTTGGATGCTAAAAACATTCGGCACCTAATTTTTCGAACATCCTGAGTATGATGCGGTGAAGCATACTGCAAAATTGGAAGGGCCACTGCCAATTGGATGTTGACTGTATTTGCCCTCGGGAAGTTCGAATGGTAAAATTTCAATGCAAATTGAATCGAATGGCAGACAGTATAAGAAAGATAGTTGAGATTTCAAATATTCGCTCGCCCGTAATTTAAAGTGTCAGACATTCGCAGCATTGCCAAAAGATCAGATCAGGGTGTCCCAGTTTACTCGCAGCACGATTTTAAATAAGCTGCTAGCGTTACTCGAAAAAGAACTAATGCATATAGTTTGTAGTACAGTGGACCGAAAATTCTGTGAATGTGTCTGCCAAGCAGGCACCATCTGCCACCTCACAAGGGGTGATGGATACAAGTCCTGCTCCTCCGGTGCCTCAGATGCCGAAGAAGAGGCACAGCTCTTTGGAGCACGCCAGAAAAGAGAAACTCTGCATTACAGGGCCCCCAAAAGGCCCTGTAACCTTAACCGGCAGTCTTTGTACATACAGCGCCAAAGTACTTGCAAATGGAGACACAAATATTGCAGGAGAATGTCAGAGGAATACTGAGTAACCTCGACGATATATAAGAACTTCTATTTACACAAACATACACCAAAAGTGCTGTGTGTGCAAGAAACACACTTAAAATCGAAACACGTCAACTTCCTGGGCAATTACATTATTTTTCTAAAAGACCGGGATTATGCTGCCCGGTCATCCGGTGGTGTTGCTGTTATCGTAAATCTAGGGACAGCATGTACACATTTACCACTTCATACATCCCTCGAGGTGGTGGCTGTCCTAGCCATTATCATGATCAAAATAAATTGATCACAATCTGCTTTATTTACATACCTCTACGCTACCAACTGAATAAACACAAATTCCAGTCATTAATAGATGAATTTCCAGAACCACATCTTCTCTTTGAAGACTTCAACGCACATAGCAATCTATAGGGTGACTCCCGCTGCTATGCACAAGGTCGCCTGACTGAACAATTCCTGTGTTCTCCTGGCGCATGCCTCCTTAATCACAAAGAGCCCACATGCTATAGCCTCGCTAATAGTACCTACTCATCGATGGACCTCAGCATTGTCTCTCCATCGCTCTTACCTTTACTCATATGGAAAGTCGTAAACAATCCTCATGGAAGTGACCACTTTCTTTTAGTTTATGAGTACACCAACATCTCATGTCTTGCACATGTTTCCAAGTAAAAAAGCTGATTGGGGACAGTTTTATAACATATCTGGGCGAATCATAGATGAAAGTGTACAGTACTTCACAGCTTTTCTGACTGATGCTGCAACCAAGTGTATCCTGCAAACACCTGGACTGTCCTGCAAGCGACGTGTCCCATGGTGGAAAACTGAGTGTCGTAGTGCAGGCAAACAGCAAAACAAAGCATGGTAGCAAGATTCTCACGAACAGCCGAGAATCTTGACAGCTTTAAGAAAATAAAGTCTCAAGGCAGGAGAACGCGCAGACAGGCCAGAAGAAAAAGTTGGCAGAAGTTTTTATCAGGCATCAATTCATATACACAGGAGGCAATGACTGGCAGTTTGGCCGCTTGTCGTTGTCGTGTTTTTCTTTACGCTGCGTTTATGTAATTTCGCGGCTTAAGTATGTCCTTAAGTTTATAAGGTAGCAGAACGACAAATATATTCACACCCCCTGGTAAACACATATGGCGGCAGCTTAGAAGATCAAGAGAACTTCCTAGGCACTCACTTCGAACAGGTGTCCAGTTCCTCCAACTGTCCTGACAATTTCCAACGCCACAAAACAAGAACTGAAAAATAAATACTGGAGCGGAAATCTTCAAGACACAAGGCATACATTGAAGCTTTGTCTTTGGCTGAGTTACCAGCATTGTTAAATTGTTGTAATAAGTCTGCCCCAGGCTCTGACTGTATAGTGTATGAAATGTTGAAACATCTTCCTTCTGAAACTCAAAAAGCCCTCCTTTTCTTGTTTAATGCAGTTTGGCTTTTCGGTCAGATTCCTTCTGCCTGGAAAGAAACAATCATCATCTCAACTCACAAAACAGCGCAAAGATCCGTCCTCAGTTTTAAACTACAGGCCTATAGCCTTAACAAGCTGTCCCTCTAAGCTCCATAACTTAATGTTAAAGGCACGTATGCAAGACGAGCGAAGGACACAGGACAAGCGCTCGTCTTATGCACGTGCTTTCAGCGCTTACATAAGTTATGGATTAGTACCAACTAGCCCAAACCCAGTGCTCTCTAAGCTCTTTGAAAAATGATAAACAGGCGACTGATGCACTTCCTTAAAAGAAACTATCTACCGGACCCATACTAGTGTGTGTTTAGAAACGGTAAATCAACCACCGACCACCTCATATGAATAGGCGTGCAAATACATTCGAACCTCGATATAACGAACACAGATATTACGAAATATTGGTTATAACAAAGTAAATGAAGAATGTTCTTGCAATAGCTGTTGTTAGGAATATACCTTTATTATGAATTTTTAGATATAACGAAGTTATTCCCGAGTATGATGCAACTTTGTTGTGATGAGGTTTAAGTGTACATGACACCTTCACTTATAAGCTATTCTCTATTTCTGTATTCCTCGATATGGAAAAAAGCGTACGACACAACATGACCCTTTGGAATACTAAGAGACCTGTCACATCTAGGTGTACGTCGAAGAATGTTCAATATAATAGAGAGTTACCTGTCAGACAGTACATTCCGTGTGCGAGTAGGTAATGTTTTGTCTCAAATGTATGCCCAGAAAACTGGAGTACCTCAAGTAGAGGTGCTGAGTTTTTCACTTTTCAGTATCAAAATGAACTCCTTGCGACTCTGCATCCCACATAGTTTGTTTTATTCCACGTATGTGGATGATGTGCAGGTTGGCTATAAGTTCTGTAATCCTGCCATGTGTGAGTGGCAAGCTCAGCTTAGCTTGAACAAGCTCTCGAAATGGACTGACAAAAATGGGCTAAAACTTAAGCCACAAAAAAGCACGTGCATCTCATTCTCAAGAAAACAAGGTTTTCATCCCAATCCTAACTTTGGCGTACATGGCCAACGTCTGTCTGTGAAAACGGAGCACAAGTTTCTAGGCCTCATTCTTGACATGAAACTTACGTTAATATGTATAGTTCTTTATTTCACTAAAATATATAAAGAACAAGTGCATAAAGACTTTGAATATCTTAAAAGTACTGTCACACACTTCCTAGGGTAGCGATGAGAAGTGTTTAATCAGTCTCTATAAAAGCCTCATACGCACACGTCCAGATTATGTTGCTATAACCGATCAATCTTAGACACCATCAGCCTTAAAGATGCCCGACCCTGTTCACCATCTTGGCATTCGTCTTTCTACGGGTGCTTTTTGAACTAGCCCCGTTGAAAGCCTGTACGTAGAATCAAATGAATGGTCGCTCCATCTGCAGAGACGTTACATGTCTTTTACATACTATCTTAAGGTTAACGCAGACAAAGAACATCCCACTCACCCTGCAATTAATGAATTATCCAATTATACCTTGTTCAACAATTGGCCTTCGCAGACTCACTCCGTGTGAGGAGCCTCGCTGAGGTAACAGGTGTTCTCCTTCTAGAACACCGTTTGATGGCTGCCGCAGCATATCCGCCGCCATGGCAGTGGCAGGTTATTGACTGCGATGTATCTTTCGTGGAAGTTGCTAAACACGCACTTACTGCACACACCCGCACTCACTTTCTCGAACTTCAACATGATACACTTGCCTAGAATTCTTTACAAATGCGTCAAAGTCTCTTGCTGGTGTATCCTATGCAGCTGTTGGGCCATCCTTTTTAAACTCCTATATGCTGAACTGGAATGCAAAGCTCATGTGATATTTCTGGCTGTCAAGCATATCAAGGAATTACAACTACAACGTGTGGTTATATACACAGATTTGCTAAGCGTTGTAACAGCTTTGCAAACACTCAAAAAACATAAAATCCTGTTGTTGCGTCGCTTTACTCTGTTTTATGCAAAAGCTACACTCTCAAACGACATGTTGTGTGCTGGTTGCCTGGGCACCGCGACATCACTGTAAACGTGGCGGCGAACCAGCTAGCTGCACCTGTGCATCACGACGCTGCCACCAATAAAATCCATGGCTGTCCCTGCACTTGACAAGAAGCCTGACAGGAGTTCAGGTCATGTTAGCAGCGCCTATGGGATGGGCAAACGAAATACAAATTGCAAATTATCAAACCGAGACTTGCTGATTGGCCGGCAGTATCCAGATTACGCTACACTCAAGTAACACTTACCAGACTACGGATAAAACACACACACTTTACCCATTCATACCCTTTGTCTGGCGGTGACAAACCCATCTGTGAGAGATGTGGAGATCCACTTACGGTCCTCCACATCCTCGTGCAGTGCAACGAGCTAGTTGCTGTAAGAAAAAAGCAATTTTATTGCCCTACAGACAGCAGCTTCCACTACATCCTGTCATGCTCATCGGCAGGATGTTTTAAAAAAATGCTCACGTTTTAAGAAAATGTACATAATTTTCACCCCATTTTCCGAGGTGATCCGTAGCTCAGCCTCTGTTCCAAGGTCACGGCTGCTGTGGCTACATCCTTACCATGGTTTTCTTCGCTATTCACTCTCACTGAACATATTTCAGGTCGCTGTCATGATTTTAGTACTTCTATGTTTTTACCCACGTTAACGCGAGGAGTTTTAAGGCCCCCAGACAGCCACGTACCATATCATTGTTAACATCTCTTATCTTCTGAAGTGGTGCCCTCTATCCATCAATCGTCCCTTGCGCCATAAAGCACCACACATCATCATCATGATCATCAAACGCACATTGAGAGACCTGCTTGATGGTAGGCAATAAGTTTAGCAGACAAAGCTTTGGCACAATGGTGAACACTGGTGTCTCTGAGAAACTATGTAAGTACCGCACTCGTGCAATTACAAGCTTAGCTGGTCGTGAATTGGCTGCATCTGCCATTGCCACCTCAGTGAAATAGAATACAAAGTTGCAGAAGGTGGGTCTTCTAAAGGAACTCTGTCGACTAATTATACGATGAAGCTCTTACTGGAGGTGACTCATCTGATTCACATCCAAGTGGAGCCCTTTGAAATAAAGAAAAAACTGCAGTCATTCTGTACACCCACAGCATAGAATTACACACATTTTGAGAAAGGTTGCCTGGTGTGTCAACATCGGAGTTGATTTTTGTAGCCCCTCTATTATTGAGAAATCTGCGTGAAATGACTGCCCAAGTATCTAATTCTCAGCCGAGTGCCATATGTAACACCAAAGTAAATTTTTTCTAAAGTGTGCAAATAACTACATAGATAAAATTTTCCTATCTGGTCGAAAATGGTATAATAAACAAACAGGCCAATTCATAAATGAAATACTGGAATGAGTGAAAGTACATAGTACATATGTATAACTTGTACAACATAAACCATGCAAGAGAACGATGACTTTCCACTGACTGTAGCAGATGTGCTTGGGCTTCCAATGCCCACAGCATGCAATATAACTGCAAAATACACTGGTTACAGCTAGTTTGAGATTATAAATATTAATCTTGAAGTAGGTCTCGAAGTTGTGATGAAGAATATAGTATCTTATAAATTCAAACGAAGTTTCAGTGCCTTTCGAGCAAGAACCCATGACAGATTTATTCTACCTTTTTTTTGTCTACTTCTCTCTTCCTCTGCTACATTATTTTTCTAGAGTGTGCTGTGTAAATTGTTAGAACAGAATGTGTGCATTTTTATGCATTCACTTTTTGGCATCTTCTGCAGGAACCTAGTGTAGACCCCGAGAATAAGGATGCATTTGACTGGACAAAGGAAGGATGCCTGGAGAGGCTTGCAGAGTGCCTAAACACATTGTCAGTCCATGAGCGCGATGAACAGGTGAAAGACAATGTACAAATACATGTTTCACAGATGATGTAGGTATTTTACTGTATATTTACTCAAATGTAACAATTTTTTTCTCTTTTTTGGGGGGCATTTTTGCTACCTGAAGTTGACCCTCATGTTACAATCGAATACTAAAATTCAAGTTGTATAAAAAGTGCTGTGTGGCACACAATTCTTTAGTTTTCATTTTATTTTTTTTTCTTCCAGGAAAGTCTCCTCTCGCGTTACAATTGTGGTTGCGTTACAGTTGAGTAAATATGGTTTGTGTGCTAGCAGCAATGGAAGAAACAGAATACTGTAAGCATAATACTTTAATTAAGCTCTACACTTTGTGATAGCAAGGTTAATGTGGCATACACTTAATTAGTGTGGGATATGATGCTTGTATGCTTTTCATCAACTGTTTGGCGATCACCATAATTTGAAATATGGACAGGAACAAACATCTGTTACACGTATGTAAATATATAGAACTGTAATTTGTCACTACTGTGCAACCAGCTTCCAAACATGAAACGCCAGTCCCAAGTGCATATTTCAGTTTCAATTAGGCAATCTTACAAATTCAGACGAACCTAGAAATGTAACAATACATTTGATCAGTTTTGTAATTGTTAGCAATTGCATTTATACTAATAGTACACTTCATCAAAGTTTGCAGTGCATGATGAAGCCCATAGACATAGAATATATATTGTAATATTTACTAACTGTACATGCAGACAAACTTTATCTACTGAGAAATTTAGCATTCCTGAAATTCAGAATGGATTAATACTTCAAAACAGCAGCTGAAATACATTTTTAGTAGTCCATTGGCAGAACCAGAAATGCCTGCTTTTTGTAATATGGCAGTCAATAAACAAGTGGCCTTCAGCGTATATAATTGCTACCAGCCACTGCCTACCACAGTCCAGCCTATAAGTAGAACAGCAGCCATCCTTCTGAAAATAATTTTTATATGTGGTTCACTGTTGTAACTTGGGCATGAAATAAGCTTTTTTAAAACTGCTGTAGCAGCTTTCCATTCCCCTGCCCATGATGCAGTTTCACAAGGAAAATCGAAACAAGTGTGAGTGAAAGTTCAATAACTAGCACATTAGGACACCAGGTTGGCTTATTTTGTTTTGTTTATGCTTTTACAGTTGTAGCATTAGTGTTCGCAATAACAGGAAATATGACATACGTATACAGTGGACTTCTGTTAAACAAAACTCAGTAAACGGAGAAGCCGCATAAACAAAACTATCCAGGCACGTTTGGTTGCTCTCCTATATATTTAATGATAAAGAGTTTCGGGTAATCGCAACATTCTTGTTTGCTTATCGTCGGTTAAATGGAACTAAAACGAGCAAAATTCATGAACGGCAGAAGGGGCCAGGACAGTCTAGCAACCATGAAACAAATGCCAAAGTTAGCCTAGCCTAGCTAAGCCAATCCAGCGATTGCACATGTCCGCGCATGCTATAGTGAACTAGAATATGATCTAGTGGCGCGATCGGCTGGGCTCCAGCATCGGCTTTCACGCGGATGCCGCCAGATGGCGCCGCAGCTACTTTTCATGCCAGCTTTGGCTGCATTGTCGGGCCATCGCGGGCTCCTCAAAGCTGCAGCTGTGGTTACTGAGATTGCGCGTTTGCTCCCTGGTTCAAGCAGACGTAATATTACCAGGTTAGTACGTGAACAACCATAACAGAGCATTGGCATCGGCAATAAAAACGACAACGCTTTAGGAGCGCCCCGGTAACCGCTTCGGCAACTTGGGGCAAAACAGTGACAATCTGTTCTCCGCTTCAACATGTTACAAGTTACATGTTTGTTGGTGCAGGATATCTCACGAGATACAGACTCCATCACGGTCTTTGTGCAGCAGAGTGTAATGGCACGTGTGCAGTAGAGTAGCTTGTTAGAACTGAAAATGCAATGATCCGGCCTGCAAGAGACGCTTATCAGCTCCGCTCTCTTATGCGGCCCACAAGAGCGCATTACGCATCCAGCAAGAACACTGGTTGAGAAGCGTGTGCACGAACTTGGGGAATAAAAAAGTGCGTCTCGTGCACAGTAATACCTCCCTGTGGCCAGCGTCGCTGGCTCTTTCTTCTATATCATTCGGGATAGAAATATTCTGAATATTTGTGAATGACAAGAAAGCGTCAGCATTATGCTTCCTGTTTATGGTATTGGCCTTAACGCGTACTTCTAAACGTGCGCATGGGATAAAAGTGACACGGAATAACACGATACTATATGTACCACAACACACAAAACAAAATAAAAGCAGCATACTTACTTTTTCATGTTTTGTTGAGCTGAAATTATTCCTTAAGATAGCCCGTATCCATGCCTTCCGCGTGCCTGGGTTTGTTCGAAATTCAAATACAGTTGAACCTGCTTATAACGAACCTCTATATAACGAAATTCTCGATATAAAGAAGTTTTTCTATTCCCTGTCGTTGCTTCGTAGAAACACATGTATGTACGACCTTTATGTAACAAAGTAACAGTGGGAGACAACCTTGATATAATGAATTTTCCCCACAGACAATTTAGGAATTTCGCACCGCATTTTGGCACAAGCGTGCTTCTTCTGTGGCTGCTCCACCGCCAACGAAACGCGAAGCGGCGGTGGCGTGGACTGCGCACCAGGCGAAAGCGAGCGCTCGTTATTTCGGGCGGGTGAGCGTGAGGCGGGCAGGCGGGCCTGCACACCACGAGCCGCCGTTCTCGCCACTGTGCATGCCCCCCCCCCCCCCTCCAAACCAAGAATAAAACAAAACAAAAAAAAAAATGTACTTTTGCGCGTTGGCAGTGCCACACTTTTATTAGTTAGCGTCACACATGTGGGGCCGCCCTGAATATGGAGGGTGCTTTACTGAATACTAGTTTTCCACCGCATCCCCGCAGGGGCGCCTGCGCAAGTAGGTGTTTGGTGTGTAGCGACACCACGGACCCGAGCTAACGGGGGAGTTTCTACTCCCTCCCACGCCTAGCCGTGCGTGGCTTTGCCGTGTCCGGGGAAAAGGGGATCCTGGGGGTTGAGCCGACGCTGGGTGATTGGACCTTTAAGGCCCCCCGGCAGAGGCAACACACCCCTTTGGCCCTGGCTTCACGTAGACGGCACCCCTGGGCTGACCCACCCAGGGGAAATCGGCAGTCGCCTTTTCCTATCTCTCTCTCCCTACATCTTCGTCTTTTGTTCTCACTTTACATCTTTCCTGTCTTCTCCTCACTTCATTTTACTTCCAATTTTTCCTGGCGGCAAGGGTTAACCTAGTGTAAATATCCAACCTTGGGTAGATATATTAGGTTATAGCGGCCATGTACAGCTGGCGCCTGCGCCTCCTTCGCGTCTCGCAGCGTCCCCTTGTTGGGCTCGGTGGTGGGTGGCTGGCATGGCCGCCGAAAAAGATATCAAATTTATGGAAACCCCTAGCCCTGTCACAACTAATCGCCCCTCTAAGAGGTGGCGCACCGATGTAATTCTTGAATTTCTCCCGAACAAAAAAGACAACTTCCCAAAATACCACATTATCCATTGTGAAAATACAGAAAAGAAAGCTAGAAACATTTCACCTTTCCTTGTATCGAAATGCCTTATAGAAACGCTGGGCGCAGGCTACAAGGCCACAAAGACCGCCAGTGGTGACCTGTTACTTGAAGTAAAAGACAACGCACAGTACCAGAGACTACATAAACTCACAGCATTTGGGGATCAGCCTATCACAATCACACCACATCGAACCATGAACACAGTGAAGGGTGTTGTATCAGATGGAGACCTGATGGACCTCTCTGATGATGAACTTCTAACAGGCTGGAAAGAGGAAAATGTCATTCAGGTGCAGCGTATCAAAATAAGAAGAGAAAATAAGGAAATCCCAACGAAGCACATCATACTCACTTTCGCATCTAGCACCCTCCCAACTGAAATAGCAACAGGATATCTTAAACTGCCAGTTAGACCATACATACCCAACCCGAGGCGCTGCTTTAAGTGTCAGAGGTTCGGGCACGGCTCCCAGAGCTGCCGAGGACAGATTACCTGCGCAAAATGCGGCACCAAAGGTCATACCGCTGACGATGACTGTCAGCTACAAGTGCACTGTGCAAACTGTGAGGGTGACCATCCTGCATATTCCAGGTCATGCGTGGCCTGGAAAATGGAAAAAGAAATTATTAGTACAAAGTTTAAATTGAACATAAGCTTCCGTGAAGCACGGCAGCGCGTTTCCCTGCATTTTTCTGGGAACACATCGTACGCCGAAGTGGCGCGAGGGGGGTCAGCACCACTTCATTTTTCGGCAATGCCTTGGACCACGCCCAGCGTGCCGAGGCAAACGCCACAAGCCCCCATGGGGGGAGCAGCCTCGGCTGCCCCACCCTCCTTGAATACAGCCCTACCGAAGGCGCCTGTGAACCTTGGCAGCAGCCAGGGCACCACACAAACTAAAGAGGTCCCCTCGACCTCCAGCCCGGTGGGGTTTAAGGCTCCGTCTGTCACGACGAAGCCTACAACGAAAACATTATCTGTCGCCTCTCCTGAGGCGATGGACACATCAACTGCACCGGCGCAGACTGCGCCAAAAGAGCGGCGGGGTTCCCTCGACCGCTCTAAAAAAGACAAAACGGTAATTACAGGGCCTTCTAAAGGCTCTGTAAGATAAGTCACTTCTCTCTTTAGACACCAGCCACACTCATTTCGTACACACAGCACTTCTTCACTCCCATAATGGAGACACAAATTATACAATGGAACGTCAGAGGACTACTTCGAAACCTCGACGATGTCCAAGAACTTCTAAACAAACATTCTCCAAAAGTGCTGTGTGTACAGGAAACACACTTAAAATCCAAGAATACAAATTTTTTGCGTCAATATGTTGTCTTTCGAAAGGACAGAGATGATGCTGTGGCATCATCTGGTGGTGTAGCCATTATTGTTAATCGAGGAGTAGCATGTAGCCATCTACCACTACTAACATCCCTAGAGG